TCTGAAGACCTAAAATAAAATAGATGAGACACTCTGGTGGCCTGGAACTCAACGAGTTATACATACATCATTCTGGGCTCTCCAAATGCTTAAGGCACCCCCTGGCCCCCAATCCTGATTGCTTGCAAAGACAGGATGGTTAAACAACAATGCTCAGAGAGGACCAAGGACTCCGCGATTCAAATATTAAGCAAAAATTATTTTCTTCTATAGGATGAAAAGCTGGTCCTCTCACTTTGGCCCTTGTAAAGGTGTTTTCCGACAGGCAAAAATTACAAAAACAACAACAAGAATGAGGCAATGAGCTTTCTGATCTTTAGAGGGGGGGAGAAAAAAATCCACCCCCGTTTAGAACCAGCAAGGTCTCTACAAAATTGGACTAGATGACCTACAAGGTCCTTTCAGCTCTGTTAATTTGTTAAAAGTGCTAAGGTGGTTTGAGACGCGAGACTTGTTCCTAACATCCAACTTTGATCCTAGGCTGTTGGCGTAAAAAGGCTGGCTGAATCCTGGGGCTGCCTCTACTACCACACCTGGTTTGTCTGTTCCACCAAAATTAGGACTTAAGAATCCCCAAATCACATTCTTCTTCTTCTTTCCACACCCAACTATTCCAATTTCACTGGCTCTCTTGCCCAGACGTGGGGTAACTGCTTAGAGGTTCCATCACACTCACGTTTTCTTATCCAGCTACGGCGGGGAAGAGTTGGATCCAGCTGGCGCTTGTATGAAAAACAGGAGATTTATAGGGGGCTGAAGTCTTGCTAAAATGAAAAAAAAAAAAAACCAACAACAACAAGCAAAATGATTGCCCACCTTCTCCCAAACTGCATACCTCTCCTTTTCCTGTTCAAAGTCTAAGTAAACAGAATCAGACCGTAAGGGCATGGGGAAACAAAACTTACCAATGATCTTTGAAGCATGATGAAGGAATCTGGAAGGATATCAATTCTGATATCTGGTATTTGTGGAGCTGCCACCAATCAGGAGTGAAAGAGCCACTTTGATTGGATTTACTGCCCGCCATCAAGTGGTTGGCCCTTAGGGACCACCTGGATAGATCTTCTCTTGATAGACAGCTTTATCCAAGAAGATCTAGGTAGATATTCTACGTTCTACCTTCTAGGCGAGCATTCTCCAGTGATGAGGCAGGACCAGAAGCAATGGATGGAAACTAATCGAAGAGAAAACCAACCTTCAACAAAGGAGAAATGTTAGGGAGAAGCTCCCTAACAGTTAGGACAATTAATCAATGGAACAACTTGTGGGTGCTCCATCTTCCACAGGTTTGGAAGAAAAGGTTGTACAGCCATTTGTCTGAAATGGTGTAAGGTTTCCCGTGTGAGCAGGAGGTTGGATTAGAAAACCTCCAAGAACCCTCCCAACTGCGTTATTCTGTGATTATCTAGATCTCCTGGCCTTTTAGTTCTGCCCAAAGGTCCTCCCATTGTTTCTGAGTCCATCTACCTTGCTTGGTGGCCATTCTCTTCTTCTCTTTCCTTCCATCTCTCCCAGCATCAGAGTCTTCTCCAGAGAACTTGGCCTTCTCATAACGTGTCTAAAATAGAAAAAATTGAGCCTGGTTGTTTGTGACTCAAGTAGGAAATCTGGGTAGACTTGTTTGATGATCCATCAGTTTGTTTTCATGACCGTCCATGGTCTTCTCAGTGGTCTTCTCCAACAGCCAAGTTCAAAAGTGTCAATCCTATTGTCCAAGTCCAGCCTGAACCATTAGGATCTAGAATGTTCTACCTTCCATGTCATCTGTATGGGATATGTCCTGTCAAATCACACGTTTTATTTCTTGTTATTTACCCATTTGTTTTGGCTGCCCCATGCATATTATAATTATTATATGGACTCTGGGAAGCATATTTCAAAATAATACCCAATACAAGGGCAGTTAAAATAATAAGACTCAATTAATTAATTTTAAAATTGTTAAAATTTGGACATCCTCCCCTCCTGGGAGCACTGTTGCATACAGTACAGGTAGTCCTCAATTTACGACTGGTTGTTTAATGGCAAAAAAAACCTCACACCCCATTCAAGAGAGTGGATTTGGACTTACGACCATGAGATTTGCTTAACCAGCGCTACAAAAAGATAGTTGAAAAAGTTGGGCCCGGTGATGTGAAGCCTCAGCTTATGACCCCATTGATTGAAGACAGGGATTCTGCTCCCAATTGTGGTCGTAAGTGGAGAACTACCAATTTGTGGCCAGATGTTGAGGCTGTACGCTGTGGTCATAAAGTTGAGGCTGTTGGAGACTTTTCAAAGACGAGTTCCTTCTGCATCCAGGAGAGATCCAGCAAACATGGAAGTCAGGAAGAAACGGTCCTCTTTGTAATAGCAAAGAATAATAATAACGATCATAATTATTGTAATATTCAGTATTGTAATATCCTCAACTTATGACCCCAATGACTGATGGAATTCTGGTCCTAGTTGTGACAAAGGAGTATCTCTACTAGCAAAAGTATTAAAAGGGATCATTTCTTTTCCATTTCCATGTTTTTCTGATCTCTTCTGCATTCTGAAGGACCTATAAAAAAAGTCTATGAAAACTTTTCACAGCAGAGCTTTGGAACAACTACGGGTCCAAAGGAATATTTACTCAAGGATCCAACGTGATGAGTAGACAGAAGTGAGAGAGACAAGGACAATTTGTTTAGATTTTAAGCAATATTTGCTCCCGGTCACTGATCAACCAACTGTATCTGAAGGAGGCCTTCAAAAATTGTCTTCTAAGACCAGCTGGAGCAAAAATCCTTGTTTGAATGGTTACAGAAATCCAGAGATGTTTTTCCATTCTGGAAAGAAAGTATGCTTGGAGTCAGGCGTAGGATACGAGATCCCCCTGGAAAGGTTGAGATTTTAAGCGCAGGGCAAAATATTTTCGTTCCAGATTTCAGGTACTCCTCGACTTACAACCAAAATTTGGACAATAACAAGCAACATACTAATGTTCGATTCTGGCTCGCTTTAGTAACACTCATGTTTGCTCCGAGCCTCTTGTCTCTGCCAATTTCTCACATTCTGCTCGATGAGCCAGCTAAATATGAGCCAGCAGTGTACAAAAGGCAATGCGATCCTAAATTGCATTAACAGAGGGATGCGATCAAGATCAAGGGAGGTAAAAATACCACTCTATAAAGCCTTAGTAAGACCACACCTAGAGTATTGCATCCAGTTTTGTTCACCACACTATTAAAAAAGATGTTGAGACTCTAGAAAAAGTGCAGAGAAGAGCAACCAAGATAATTCGGGGACTGGAGACTAAGGCATATGAGGAACTGGGCCTGGCTAGTCTGGTGAAGAGAAGAACTGGGGAGACATGATAGCAGTCTTCCAATATTTGAGAGGCTGCCACAGAGAGTAGGGGGTCAAGCTGTTTTCTAAAGCATCCTGAAGGCCAGACAAGGAATAATGGATGGAAACTGAACAAGGAGAGATTTAACCTGGAAATAAGGAGAAACTTTCTGACAGTGAGAACAATCAACCCATGGAACAGAAGTTGTGAGAGCTTCATCCCTGGAGGCTTTCAAGAAGAGACTGGACTGCCATCGGTCAGAAATGGTGTAGGTTTTCATGCTTGGACAGGGGGTTGGACTAGATGACCTACAAAGTCCCTTCCAACTCTGATCATCTGTTATTTGTTTAAAGCTGATATTCACATTTAAGTGGTTCGACATTCCTTTCCTCCAGATTTAAGCATTTCAGATAGCAATTTAGTCTAACATGGGATTTTTGTAATGCCAGCTTTCTGGAGGCAGGGGACGGGCGTACAGATACTTTTCGACGTACAACCACCATTGAGTGCAACATTTCCACTGCTAAGCAAGAGAGTTGTTAAATGAGCACGTTACCCCATTTTATGACCTCTCTTGCCCCAGTTGTTAAGTGAATCACTGCAATTCTTAAATCAGTAACATGGTTCAAAGGGGAATCACATGACCCCTGGACGCTGCAACTATCATAAATATGAGCCACTGAAAAAAAGTGACTTATGACCATTTTTCACACTTATAACCATTGCAGCAACCCCACAGTTATGTGATCAAAATTCAGGCACTTGCTCATATTTATGACGGTTGTATTATTCCAGGGTTAGGTTTCTGACAAGGAAAGGCAATAGGAAAACCAGATTAGATTAACAGGTTAGCAGAGTGGGAAGGGACCTTGCAGGTCATCTAGTCCAACCCATCCACCCACCCCCACCCAAGCAGGAGAATCACTTTACAACTGCTTTACTTAACAACTGCAGCAACTCACTTAACAAGAAAGCTCATAAAATAGGGCAAACTTCACTTAACAGTTGTCTCGCTTAGCAACAGAAATGTTGAGCTCAATTGGAGTCGGAAGTGAAGTATTGTCAGGGCTCCGACAATTAAGATCATGTCTCTAGCGGTATCTCTCAGAGTTAAAAAAATTGATTTATTAGGCGTGACCATGTCAGCGTTACCTAGGTACAGCCAACTCTAAGACACATCATTCCTTTCCCCCTTGACCCTGGTCTTCCCCCCCCCCCCCCTGCCTGGATGTATATTGTCCAATGGGACACATCCATAGCCAAGAGTCATCAACCATGCTCTCCAGTCATAATCTTGGGCGCCAACAGCTTTGAGCTGCCAAGGCCATTATCTGAGGCATTTAAGGAATGCACTGCTTTCCCCCACTCCCTTTCTGCTGGCAACTAAAACGATCAAAGAAGTATTTTTTAGTTGACAAGTACTACCTATAAACATTTATTTGGAAAGTCACTTCATCCATTTTTTTAAAGTGGTTTTTGTAGGGCAAGAAGGAAATGTGAAACATATTTGTGAATGCACTCAAAATCAAATCTGGGCCCCGATCTTACAAAAAGGAAAAAAAAATGGTCAGGGCAGGACAAAAAAAGAAAATTTGAAAATGTAAAGGGTTGTTTTTTATTTTTTAATCCTAATTGTACCACCCTGATATTCGTTGACGACATTTTAGAAAGAAATGATTGGAAACAACTCGTACTTAATTTTTTTTTCTTCTTCTCTGTATTTATGTCTAATGATGGGTTGAAAAAGTAGAAAATGAAAGGTTGGAGTTTCTGGTCAACCTCTCTCGAGATTTATTTATTTTTTTCCCACTGCTACGGTTGGGATTACATGACCATCTTCTCTAGCACTGATGGAATCCAGGGACATTCAGTCAGATCCATCTTGGGAGGTTATGGATTCAATTTTTTTCTTCAACTTCTGGAAACTCTCGGAAAGCCAGTTCCTGCCAAGGACAAGAGAAATGATGAGTTGGTTTTTGCTACCCCACAAAGCTCCCAAACTCTTGCAATGCGGGAAAGACCTTGGGAGACTACATTAAGAGAGGCTGCCAAGGGAACAGTTAGATAAGAGGCAGCCTAGCCCTCAGCCGCACAGTGGGTGAGGGAAGAGAGGAGAAAGGGACTTTCCTGGTTGTTTCTGTGATAAAGGAGACAGGGAGAAAATTGTAACTTTCAAACTGGCCAGATTGGGGTGTCAACCTCGATTTCATGGAGGGCCGCATCAGGGTTGTGTTTGACCACGAGGCCAGGGGTGCGTTTCAAACATTTTTACCACTGGTTTGGTGGGTGTGGCTTGGTGGGCACGCTTTGCTTGCACACACACACACACACACACACACTTCGCACATGTGCATGCATCAAACGTGCACTTTGAGCAGGCACAGAGGCCTCCCGACTCGCCGCCTGCAATCTTGCACTCTCCCTGTCGCTTCAGCAGCTGCTGTGTAGCAATCAGCTGCGTGGTGCATAGAAGCTGGGCTTCAAAAGCAGGACATACAGGTGAATATGGGAGCCTGGCCAGGTGTGTGGGCCCAACAGCAGAGTGTTGGAGAGCAATGGTTTGGTCTCCACTACTCATCGGCGCTACCAGCTCGGCTGAACCAGGCTGAACCGGTAGAATACCACCACTGCTCGGCGGGGGAGGGGCGTCTGTGTGTGTGGCTGGGGGCGTGGTCAGGGTGGGTGTGGCCAGCTCAACATCACTCATCAAGGCTCCATTTTTGGCTGCGACGGCTTCCTTCGGCCCTCTGCCAGAGCTCAGGGAGGCTACATGCAGCCCGCCTGGGCTACATTTTCGCTGGCAGAGGGCTGCAGGAGGCCGTCGCGGTTGAAAACGGAGCCCAAGTGGGCTGCATGTGGCCCTCCCAAGCTTTGTTTTCACTAGCAGAGGCACTGTGGGCCAGTCCTTCACTGTTTCCAGGGTGGGTCCATGAGCCAGATCTAAGCACCCCGTGGGCCGGATCTGGCCTCCGGGTCTTGAGTTTGACACCCCTGGGCAAGACTCAATGGTTAAAGATGCCGAGCTTGCCTGATGGAAGGCTGACAGCCTGGGTTTGAGACCCGAGCTCCACACGACGGGGTGAGCTCCCGTTCCTTGCCTCAGCAACTGCCTACCTAGCAGTTCAAAAGCATGCCAATGCGAGTAGATAAATAGGTACCACTTCAATGGGAAGGTAACAGTTGTTAAGGGAATCCAGCTTTCCTGTTGATTTTGCTTGTCAGAAGGTCACAAAAGGGGATCACATGACACCCCACCAAGGACATTGCAACCGTCATAAATACATGCCAGTTGCCAAGCATTGATCACACAACCCCTGGAGATGCTGCAATGGCCATAAGTGTGAAAATATACGTTGCTTTCCTCAGGGCCCTTGTAACTTTGAGCGGTCACTAGATGAACTGTTGTAAGTCGAGGATTGCCTGTATATTGTCAAACATGTTTCTTTCCATCCTCCTGTTCTGCCACATGGGTCCGCTGCTTCCCAAAATAGGTTTCACCTTGGACTTCAGGCTTCCCCGCTTCATACTCGATCATAGAGAGTCCATATTGCTTAAGACGCTAATCCTAGGATAATTTTTTCAAATCACAGATGTGCTAATTCAGGAACCGGTTTGGCTGTTTCGCTGAGCCTCCAGCAAGAATTCCAGATGATCCAGCTGCTTGCCAAAATCTGACTGGCACTCCTTGGCAGGGATTTAGAAAACACCTGAGAGGCTGTCATAAAATCATAGGGTTGGAAGGGACCTTGAAGGTCTTTCAGTCCAACCCCCCTGCCTAAGGCAGGACTGTCTCTGTGCGGTGGAATGCTGTCTGGATTCCCAGCAGGGAGGGGCTGGATTCCAGAGAGCAAAGAGGCAGCAGAGGAGACTAACTCAGTTAATCAGAATAGAGCTGGAAGGAATCTTTGAGGTCTTTCTAGTTTAACTCCAGGGGGCCGTGGGCTGCTACCGGTTCGCAACGGTTTGGACGAACCGGTTGTTAATTTTATGGTCGGTTCAGCAAACCGGCAAATCTCTCCCCTGGCTGGCTCCACCCACCCTGCCCTTCCCACGCAGCCCATTTTGGATTGCAGGTAAGTGGGGGAGGCTCGGGGAGGGGGAAAAATGGGCCTCCTAGAAGTTCCGGAAGGCTGGAAACCCAGAGAGTCTCCGGAACTCGATGAGAGCGAAAACCCCCCTCCCTGCAGCCCATTTTTGCTCCCAGGGTGGTGCAGGAGGCTGACTAGGCCACGCCCACCATGGCCACGCCCACCCAGCAACCGGGCAGAGAACTGGTTGTTAAATTATTTGAAGCCCACCCCTGTCCAAACCCCTGCTCAAGCAGGCGACCCTATACCCGTGATGGCGAACCTATGGCACGCGTGCCGCAGGTGGCACGCAGAGCCATTTGTGCTGGCACACGAGCTGCAGACAAACTTACCTCACTGCACATGCACGTGCCTCACAGCTGGTTTTCGGCTGGTTTGAGGCCTTTTTTGGCTTCCCAGAGGCTTGAAAAAAGCCTCTGCAGGTCGAATAGGCCCGTTTTGTCACTTCCTGTAATACCGGAAGTGATGAAATGGGCCTATTCAGCCTGCAGAGGCTTTTGTCAAACCTCCAGGAAGCTGAAAAAGGCCTCAAACCAGCTGAAAATCAGCCGTGAGGCACAGTCCAGGTAAGGGGGTGGGGGCTGGGGGGATTGCATGCGCATGTGCACGGGGTGGGAGGATGTGCATTGCCTTCTGGATGCTGGCATTGGAGCGCCAGCGCGCACACAATTTTTAGCACAGGAACCCCAAAAGGTTAGCCACCACTGCCCTATACCATTTCACCCAGCACTGATGATGTTCCCTAGTTTGGGTGCTGAAACCTTTGCAAGAAAACAACTGAGTTCAGAGAGCACAAAGGACCACCTAAACAAACTCAGCGCCCCACTTCGGGGTCCTTCTTCCCCCTAGGATGTTCTCAATGGAGCCCTCTTGGGCTGCTCTATATCTTCATCTAGTGGTGGGTGCTGCATCTGTCAGGCTCCTCTGCCTGCAAATGTTTGTTCCCTTTGAGTAAATAGAATTTTGCCTCTTTTTTTTTGGCTAATCTAGGCGGCTGATATTCCCTTTTCGGCTTCCAGGCTCGATAGGTCTTCATTTTCTGGTTGATGGAGGAAACAAGTCCGTTCCGGAAAGCTGAACTACAACTGAAGCTTTGCATCTGGGATCCCAGCTTCTTAAAAATGGGTCTCCCTGTGGATCGAGAATTCATGGAACCCAATCCACAAGGAGAACCAGAGGCAATTTCCCTCCCCCCACAAAAATATTTTGCACCCTTTTAGCTCTGCTCAGATGCCAGCTGTTTACTGATGGAAAGCTGACCTTGGCTAGGACATTTTCCGTTCGTAAAAAAAGGGCGATGATTTAAGAAGCCACAAAAGGATGAAAAATCAGGCCGGGAGGACAGTCCGTGAAGCAAAACCCCAGGAAAATCTTTAATCCTGGAATGAGTTTCATCGTTGAGATAAACAGGGAGAGAATGTCACATGCAACGAAGGAATGATGGCTTTGCAGGCAGGGAATTTCCCACCGTATGAATTGCTTGGATTATTATTATTTTTTCAACAAATGCTCAGCTCAGGCAAATACACTGACATTTAAGTCGTGGGTTCTTGCAAATTGGGTGGGGTGAGAGAATCAGGGGATGTCAACGTGCATCATGGCCCCCTTTATGCTAACGGGTGGAAATCATTTACTGTCGCTCCTTTACATCATGGCTGGATCGGTTCGCGTCGCCTAATTCCTGCTGTTTGCACAAGGATGTTGTAAGCGCTTGGGATGTCATTGTGGCTTCTTTAGCAACATGGATGGGAAGGGAGCATTTAATTATTAATTTTACTCCTATTATGGGATGAGAGTGAGGTGTTTATGGTTGGCCGAGGCAGGAACGGATCAAGAATTAATCAATAGAGGATAAGAACTGGGCGGCTGCAGATGTTCCTGCTTCCATGGTTTCAAAATTGGCAGAAGTGAGGAAGAGCTGCAGAAAAACTTCCAAAACTGAATTATGAAAAAAACCAGGACGTGGAAGCAGAATGGAAGAAACATACTCCGGGGAACTGTCTCCAGATTTAAGAAGGGGAAGTTTGACGCTAAATATTAAGATGGGCTTCCTTTGGTTGATGTACTTCAGATGTTGGGTTTTTCTGGAGAATTTTTCTTCTTCTTCTTCTTCTTCTTCTTCTTCTTCTTCTTCTTCTTCTT